CGATGTCATTTTTCATTTCCTCTTGGTTCTTCTTCAATTCCTCGTGGTTCTTCCTCATTTCTTCTTGGTTATTGTCAAATTTCTCTTCCATTCTTTTTAGCCATCCTATGATCATTATTCTGAATTCTTGCTCTGTTAGGCTGGTTGCCTCTGACTCTACTTCCTTTTCTGGTGATGCCTGCTTTTCTTTTATGTGCAGACTATGTTTTTGTCTCCCCATAGCCTCTCTTTTCAGGGTGTCTGGTTATGTGGTGTTCCTTCTGCTGCGTTGATTTAAAGGTACAATATACACCACTACCAGGTACAACACAAGAGGCACTTAACAGGAATGTATTTACAATATTAATAACCTCAAATAAAGGTGACCACTAGAGAAAGGCAACTTAGGGGTTAGGGGAGAAGGAAGAAAGGTAAAAATAAAATAAAGAAAATTTTTTATAAAATTAAAATGTAAAAAAAAATTAAGAAAATAAAATAAAAAAAAGAAGGATAAAGAGATAAAGAGAAGAAAAAAAGTAATGACAAAATAAAGTTGGAAAACAGGGAAAAAAAGAAAGGAGAGAGAGAGAGAGAGAGAGAGAGAGAGAGAGAGAGAGAGAGAGAGAGAAAGAAAGGGAGAGAAGAAGCAAACTAAAAGAGAAATGGGAAACAAACTATATATATGTGGAGAAAATTGCCATAGAACAACTACTGAACCCAGCCAATGCCAGTAACAATACTTGGAGATTAATACAAACTACAATATCCACTATTATTAAGTAAGTCTATGATATACAGAAGTAATAGAAACAAACAAAAACAGAGGATTTTAAAAAAAAATACAATGCAACAATAACAACACAGGAATAAGCATAACCATTTCACTAAAAAGCATAAAAATTCACAATAATCAACCCTCACACAAACAATGCGCAAAGGATAGAGGGGAGAACAGTTTTTGTTTTTTTTTTAACTAGTTAATATAGTACAGAAATTGGTATTTATACACTTGGATCAGGGGTTGGAACTTAGGTCTATACGTATAGTGAGAGCTTTAGCAAGGGGTATACAGAAAGAATAGAGGAAAATCTAGAGCCGGAAAGGGATAGGATAAACCGTTGACTAAAAGGGTAAAGTTTAGTAAGAGAGTGATGGTGTAAAGGTCAAGTTGAGATAGGGTTGAATGATGCTAAAGTAGTGATTAAAATAGAATGGAGGTTATTCCCAATGTAAAATACAGAAAAAAAATAAAATAAAATGGTACTGGAGAGGAAACAAACAGACAAACAAACAAACAAACAAACAAGAAAAAACAAAGAACAAAAAAAAAAAAAAAAAAAAAAGGAAAGAAACAAAAATTGCAAAATAGCAGTAGTAATAGTGATGATAAAGATTGAAAAATGTAATAATTGAAAAGGTAAAATGAAGTAAGGAAAAAAATAGAAAAAATTTTTCTTAAGTAAATGCTATAAAAAGTGAAAATTAAATAAAAGATGTAAAAAATGAAAATAAAATAAAGAATAGTAAAATTAGCATAAAAATGTCCAGTAGTGGTCATTCACTTCCTCTGTTAATGTATTTGGCACTCCTGATTCTCAGACCAGACAGTCTTGCAGTCCCCAGCATTCCACTGCACCTGAGTTTTGTAAGGTAAACCTTAATTTTAAGCAGGTTATATCTTAGTTATTTGTGTCCGTTTATTTTTGATTAATAAAAAGAAAAAAGAGAAAAAGAAAAAAAAAAGAAAAGAAAAAAAAAAAAAAAAAAAAAAAAAAAAAAAAAAAAGGCAGTTTGTAATTCGGCTCTTAGGTGTCAGTGTTTCCGGTTTGACCTCCCAGTCTTTTTGGTTGCTCTGGCCTTCTTTCTCTATGGCTCTAGCTGGCTCCAGGACTATGTCTTCTGGCTCCAATCCCTTGTTTCCAGAAGGCAAATTCCCCCTACAATTTCCCCGGCTATGCCCAACTGGGCAGTTCTTCTCTAGTATTCAGAAGCAAGGGGATGAATGGGAACCGGTGCCAAGGTGTCCAGATGTTCCGCCCTTGGCGGGACAGCCGCTATTCTTAACACACTGTCCCTTGTCCCCTGGCGTTTTAAAAAAGCCCCTCTTCTGGGGGGGATTACTTCAAACCCAGCACTAGGTGTCGCTGTAGCCTTCTCTGGGCTCCGCTCCGCCTCCGCGGGCTGTAGTTCGCGCACCCGTCTACAGTGGAGGCAGGGCTGGAGCTCCCCGGCTACCGTAGCAGAGGCGGGCCGGAGCTCCCCGGCTGCCGTAGCAGAGGCGGGGCTGGAGCTCCCCGGCTACCGTAGCAGAGGCGGGCCGGAGCTCCCCGGCTGCCGTAGTGGAGGCGGGGCCGGAGCTCGCCGCCGCGGAACCCAGATCCCTTAGGCTATCCCCGCAAACTCTGACCTTTCCGTGGGTGACTGAAGATCTCCCCGGAATCCACGTGTTTGCGCAGCTCTGGGAGTCTCAGCTGCTCGATGGACCTCCGGGCTGTGCGTTTTCCACGCCTCAGAGAAGCTCTTTCCTTCCTGGCAAGACAATGCAGCCCTTCCTCCACGCCCGCAGCCTCCGCCGCTGCCGCCGCTGCCACTGCTGCCGCGGCCGTCCTGGCCACTTGGTCAGGAAATCCTGTCCAGCGGACTCTCCCTTACCCTCCTTGAGAGCTCCGCTGTCCCTTAGCTGCCAATCAACTCTCCCTGAGCGACTCAGAAGCCCCCTTTATCCGTTCTGGGACCAGAGTCAGAATAGGTCCGACTGTTCGGTCGCCATCTTCAAGCTCCGCCCCCAGTTTGTACTTCTTAATGCCTTTACCCTTTTCACACAGCTGGTACAAAATAAACTTGGCATTGTGCTCCCATGTACGTGTGCATGGTTTGTATAACGTGTAGCTGAAGTACAATTTGATCCAGCAACACTTACCCTAGTTATGTGTGGTACACTCTGTAGTTTCTATTATGTTGTTTTTTACTCTTTTACTCCCTGTGAGTGGGTCAGTAAGTGAACTTCCTGACCCACTCACAGGTCACAAGAGGAGTCTGAAAAGAACTGCTTGACAGTCATTAAGTTTTAGGACACCTTAGAATATTAATTCCGAGAAGGCTTTGGAAATTACCCATTGGCAGCCTCCTCCTTTCCTCTTGTTTTATAGTTGGAGGAACCTGACGTCCAGGTAGGGGAAGACTTCCTTGCAGGGACACAGTGCTGCTCTGTGTTTGTACTGCTACACCTATTCATTCCTGGAATCCTGCAGTGGGCAGTTGGAGCTCAAGGACTTTGTAATTTTTGAGCCTAGCAATTATGCTTCTGTGTAGTTTCATGGTAATGAATAGACTGTACTCACTTTTTCTCCCCTACTTGGCTAACAAGCTATTTTCTCCCTTCATTAGTTTATTATCCCCTCTTCTCACTGAAGGGAAGACTGTTAACAAAGCACTGAGCGTACTGTCTCCTCTTCTGGGGATGACACACAGCTGTCATTGTCATGAACCCAAAGAGAGCATGAGTTGAATAAGAAACAGCTGTATGCATCTACTTACACTTTAAAAAAAGAGCAGTCTAAATGTATATATATATTTTAAGGCAGTTGTACTCTAAGCTTTTGACAACTCCAAACATCTTTGTGTATTTGATGTTTTTTTATTTTATTTTATCTTTTCTTCAAAATCAGTAGTGATCTCCTTTCATAAAAATTTTACAGTTTTAGTTTCACTGTTCCTTTTGTGAATAAAGTTACAGCACTTATGAACAAAAACTTTTGAGTTCTTAATATTAATTACAGTGTATTAGTTAGCATAGGTTGCTATAACAAAATACTATTAACTGGGTGGCTTAAACAATAGAAGTTCATTTTCTCACAGTTCTGGAAACTGTTAGAAGTGACAGAGGTTTGGTTTCTGTATAGAGCTCTCTCCTTGGATTGTAGATGATTACTTTCTTGCTATATCCTCCCTCTGTGACTTTATATGCTAATAAGTCTTCTAATCTGATTGGAGCAGGACCTCACCTTCATGACTTTATCTCACCCTAATTACCTCCAAAAATCACCATATTAGAGGGTAAGGCTTCATTATATGAAATGTAGGAGGATTTAATTCAGTCCATTTTACAAAGTTAAGATCTCAGCAGGAAAAAAGAAAAAGGAAAAGAAAATAGATATATTGGCTGAAGTATGCAAAGAAATGCTCTCAGTTGCACTTATTAAAAACAGACTTCTGTTTGAGTGAATAGATGTTTTCACACTCTATAATTCTTATAACACTTACTAGCAATAGTAACACATTTAATTTTTTTTTATATTCTTCTTAATAATGTGAGTATATAGAAAATGGTTTAGTTAAATTTTTCCCAAGAGTAAAATGATACCTTTAAAAAGTTATTATTTTTTTTACAGAGAATTCACTTCTAATGAAGATTCTATTTCTCATTAATAGTTAATGAATTTCTAGACAGCACGTCACTATTTCAAAACTTTATATTAAATGGAAAAGTTATCCACCATCATTGAACAAAATACATGTTTTAGCAAACAACCATTTGTGCTAAAGACATATTTTAAAACAACTTTTATGTGACGGCACTATTATTGCTATTTAGGAGGATGGATACTTTTTAATTGTGAAACTGTAAGTGAGCCTGCTCTTTGTCTACAGGAAATGTTATAGAGAGCCACTCCAATAGCTCAGACAAAATACTCATTCAAACTGAAGATAATCAGAGAGAATATTGAATCACCTTAAAGCCCTTTTGATTAAAGTCCTTGGAAACCTTCAAACCAGTTCTCACCTTTTAGGCTGCTATAAGTAGACTGTTGATCAAGAAGTTTTGGCTATTTTTATGGTTTCTAGGTTAAAAGAGGTGTGGGCTATTTTACAGTTTTAGGGGTCTGTGCATTTCAGTAGTGGGCTTTTGTATAAAGAGTTAGTGCTGTGTGTCTAGAAGAAATATTCTGTGTCTTCGTAGTGTCTTTGAGTGCTTTTACTGAATTAACATGTATATGTTTACTTTGTTTCTTCTATTTCAGTGTTTGTCAGCTGAAGAGATCTTTTCCCTTCATGGCTTTTCAAATGCTACCCAGATCACCAGCTCGAACTTCTCTGTCATCTGTCCAGCAGTCCTTCAGCAACTGAACTTCCATCCCTGTGATGAGCGTCCCAAACATGATTCAAAGCCAAGTCTTTCTGAAGGTATGTTGGAAGCTTGTCCCCCATTTATTTGAAAGGTTTATGGGGTTGTCTGAAACGATATTAACACACTTTCTTTTCTGCTTCTATTAATCTACATAGAACCCCCTGGGAAAGTACGTATATTCTGGAAGTATGTAGATTAAGAATAATTAGAGCTCATTTAAACTTCATAAGTTTTACTCTTCTATTTGTAGAGTGAAAATTGTACTTGAATTATACATGTAAAAACTTTATAAAATCCAATGCTTGATTTTAAAGATATGTTCTATGCTATATACATTGAATTATATATTAACTACCTAGCTCAAAATTGATCAGTTAATTCCCATCGAATTGTGCTTTTAGATAGTATTAAAAACCCTGTAAATTTATCTGTAAGTGTCAGTACAGGAAATGTTATAGAGAACCACTACAGAACTAGTGTCTCTAGATTAAATCTTAAAGTACTGAATTATCACCACTATGAGAGTCCTGGTGCACAGATTCGTGCACTGGTGGAGTCCCTTGACCTGGCTTGCACCCTTTCGTAATCTGGAACCTTTTGGGGATGTCAGACTGCCAGTTTTGGCAAGGCCCTGTAGGCCAGGCCAAGGGACCCACTGGTGCACAAATCCATGCACCAGGCCTCTAGTATGCATATAAGATATTTGGTTAATCTTTTCCAGCCCTCCCCACTTCCCCCTTCCCTCTGAGATTCATCAGTCTGTTCCATGTTTCCATGCCTGTACATTGAACATCTGCCCCCTGGTGGTCAATACATGGTCAACCAGTTGCTTAGGCTTTTATATATATATAACTAGATGCTTGGTGCATGAAATGTGTGCATTGGTGTGTGGGGGGGTGTCCCTCAGCCCAGCCTTCACCACCATCTGGGACCTCTCAGACATCCCTCTCACAATCCAGGATCACTGGCTCCTAACTGCTCGCTTTCCTGCCTGATTGCCCCTAACCACTTTTGCCTGCCAGCCTGATCGCCCCCTAATTGTTCCCCTGCCAGCCTGATCACCCCCAACTACCTTCCCCTGCTGGCCTGATTGCGCCCAACTGCCCTCTCCTGCCAGCCTGGTTGCCCCCAACTGCCCTCCCCCACTAGCCTGGTCGCCCCCAATAACCCTCCCCTGCTGGCCTGATGGCCCACAACTTCCCTCCCCTGCCAGCCATCTTGTGGTGGCCATCTTGTGGCAGCCACCTTGTGATGACATGAGGGCATGTGTGAGATCACGAGGACCACCTAGGCTTTTATTAGTATAGATACTTTTAAATAATGAAAGAAAATACCAACGGCTATTTTAAGCAGCTATAATGGCATTATCACAGATAAAGTATTTTAAAGGAATAATCTGCTGCAAAGAAATTTTAAAATGTAAGAAAACAAGTGCTTGTTTATTATATAATATAATTCACATACTTAAATATGAAGGATTCTTTCACAAATGAGATAAACCAATTGTTCAGGGGGTCTGTTTATTAGCTGTGTGCTATTTCCTAGTGTTCCCAAATTGTTGCCCTGCCCCATATGATATTTTAATCTCATTGTTTTGTTTATTTGTTCAATTCAATAAGTGTTTATTGATTGACATGGCAGACACTGTTCTGTGTATTGAGGATTCAGACACAAGCAAGAAGAAAAAAATCCTGCTCTCTTAGGGCTTAAAATGTAGTAGAGAAGTAACATACTAAACATTTACACAAACAAGCAAATAAATGCTATGATTTCAGAGGGATAAGTGCTTTGCAGAAAATAAAGTAGGTCGCAATAAAAGGAGATGGTGGGTGTATGTGAATTTAGATGAAAAAAAAAGGAGGCATTTCTGATGAGATTACATTTGAACTGAATTCTGGACTAGGGGTGGAGGAAAGGGCCATGGCAAGATCTTTGGAGAAAGAGTGTGCAAGGTCAAGAGAATAGTCAGCATAAGCTTGGGAATGTGCTTGGCATGTGTGAGGATCAGCAAGAATGTCTGTGCGCCTGGAGCATAGTGAGCAGGAGAGAGGCAGAAGGAGGGGGAGTCAGGGGCCTTGCTGTGTACAGTAAATTGGTTGGATTTTATTCTGAATGTGCTATGAAGACATTGTAGGATTCTAAACAGGAGAAGGACATGATTTTACTTGGATTTGTAAAAGATGGTTCTACCTGCAGTTTGAGGGAGAGCTGGTAATGGGGGAAGAGTAGAAGCATGGAGACTGATTGGTCAGGAGGCTGTTGTCAGGGATTGGGATTCAGCAAGATGGGGTCTGGGGCTAAGTGGGAGAAGTAGGAGTGAGGAGAGGTGATGAGACTCAGGGTGGATTTCAGAGACTGTGCTAAAATGGTTTGGATGTGGAGGAGGGAATGGTAAATCAAAGTTTAAGTCCTTGAAAGTAGATAGATGGCTGTGCCATTTTCCAGGATGAAGACTGGGGAGCAGTAGTTTGTTATAAAGGAAATCAGCGGTGAGAATCAAGAGTATGGCTTTAGATATGGTCAGTATGAGGCATTGATGTCGACCAACAAGGAGAGATATCCAGTAGGCAGTGGCATACAAACATTTAGAGCTCAGAGAATAGGTTGAGGCTGAAAATATGTCATTTTATTTATTTATTTATTTATTTATTTATTTAAAATATTTTTGTTGATTTTAGAGAGGAAGCGAGAAGGAAAGAGAGATAGAAACATCAATGATGAGAGAAAATCATTGATCGGCTGCCTCCTGCACAAGTCCTACTGGGGATTGAGCATGTACCCTGACCAGGAATTGAACTGTGATCTCCTGGTTCAAAGGTGATGCTCAATCACTGAGATTACAGGCTTTCATTAGGTACAGTACCTGAGAAAGAATGCAAGTCCAGGGCTTTAAAGTCTGTTGTTCTTTCACTGTACAACAGTGAGCTAAAGGAACTAAAATTTATATGCTGGCCTACTTACTATTCTTTAAAAAAGAATGCTAACCTTTATTGAAGACTTGACTGTATTCCAGGGGCTTATGTGTAACTGGCTTTATGTTATTCCTGTAAAAAATATATATTTATATGAAATAGAAAAATTTAAAAAATAGGTGTGGTTTTTAAAAGAATTTTCATACATATTGGCAATCAATAAATGTTAACTATTGTTACCAATATTCCCTGGAAATGCATTAAAATTTTCCATATTCACTAAGGTCAGAAAGTCTGAAATAGATCATTAGGGAGAGTCCTATTTGTATATGGAGAGATCCAAAGAATATTTTTATTCTAATTCACTCTTTGATGCTCTAGTTGAGTGGATGATGGATTTCCCTCCCTCTGCCCCCCAATAATGTACTAACAATGAAAAGAGAGGAAACTAAGTAGTTTACCTAGACAGAGTGATGATTCACACTCCCAGAGTTCCCCAAATGGTTCTGATAAATCTGCACAATATTAAGGAAAGTTGGAAAGATTGGATAAGCAGATGAACTGGTATTTTTTGACAGAGTTTTGGGCTGCATTTTAAAGTATGGGCTTTATTAATTCATTTTTCAAGGAATGTGTGTTATTTGCTAAGCAACATTCTAGGCAGTGATGGTGAATATAACATAGCTCTATGTAAGTGATAAAAATCACTATCGCACACAAGAAATGGTAAGTGGCACAGTCACCTTCAAAGAGCTACAAGAAGCTTGACAAGGAAGGCACGGATGCCCAGAGAAGCTAGCGAAGCGTTATAGAGGAGGTGTGAGTTTCTTAGGCAATGAAGATAGAAACATATTTCCAGATAGAGAACCACAAGTAAAGGTAATTCTGTATTTGGAAAACACTGTGTCTGCATAAAGGCCTTGTTGAGAAGGGTGTGAATAGCACCAGTGAGGCTCTATGGGACTCAGTTGGTGAATGGCAGGGTCAAACAGGGGTATGAGGTGATCAGAGATATGTTTCAGAATAATGAGTCTGGTGCTCATGTCAAGTAGAGGAGGAAGGGCAGACAGAAAGCTGTCATAATGCATTGGATGACGGAGTTAGAGATGGTGAGGGCCTGAACTCAAGGTATCGTTAATGAGGATGGAGAAGCTGGAGTGAGAGATCTCAAGCAGAATTGATAGAATTTGGTCACCAATCATGTATAGACTGGTGGAGAGTGAGCAATTGAAACAGATCCCAACATTTTTGCTATTTAAGAAGGTAGTGAGCTAGGGTAGGGGAGCAGGATTTCTCAGAGGCAGATGATGTGTTTAACATGTACATGTGGCTTTGCCTCCATTTGGTACTCAGCAACATCTTTGCATTCTAATTTTAGTTTCAACAAGTATGCATCTTGTCTGCCCAATGAGATGATAAATATTGATTGGATGAGTGAATGAGTGTAGCCTAGTGATGAGATAGAAAGATATTCATATGGAGGCAAACTACACATAGACATATCGTGGAGGAGATGTGGGATTGAGAACTTTCTCTATGTGGAAAGTCTGAGGAGAGTAGATATTGCTGTTTGAGGTGATAGTAAGTGGGAATAAGGTGGACCTTTGTAGGTCCAATGAGATGGACATAGCCGGGAGCCTTGAACTGACAGGAAAGTGAAGACGACGAAGTCATGGTTAGTGCTGTGATGATTCGTGTAATGACAAAGTAATTTGTATTACCTGTTCTTTTCATTTGGTGCTCAGAACAGGCTCCCTTATATTGCTTTGTGCATGGGTGTTTCTTCACATTTCTCAGCTCCCCAAGCAAAAGATCCAAGCTGCTTGTTGGCAGGAATCATGTTCACATCCTAGGCTCCATAAACATTTGCTAAAATTGGTTATTTATAGATAGACTCACTTGAACCAGAATAATGGTGAAAAGTCTTAAAATATAAGCATATTATAAAGTATTTAGTTTAGCTCCTTAAAAATTAAATTACCTCCACAGAAATAATGAAACGTATTAAAAAACAACGTGAGTCCTGGAGACAAACTGTCTGGGTTTGAAATCTGCAGGATTTTCTATCTGCATGACTTGGTTAGCTCATTTGAACTCCATATGCTTTGGTTTCCACTGCATGAAAGATATAAAAGTAGTAGCCTCATAAGGTTTCGTGAGGATCGAATGAATTAATCCATGTTAGTCGCTGAGCACAGTGCCTGACACATGGTGAAGACACACTAAGCATTACGTGTTAGTATGCTACTCAACTGGTAGTGTCCATGAGAAAAGTGGCCCATCATTTAAAAGTGTATTCTTGACAAAAAAGTGGCAATGTAGGGGCAGCTTTCTAATCTTTCACATTGTCTTTGTGCACAGTGTGTGTGGGCCACAAGGCAAAGCTACCATACCTTTCTCCTGGAACCCACATGACCTCTATATTCCTCTGAAAGGCTGAGTTTAACTAGGCCATGGACCAATAGATAAAAGTAGGTGGCTGGAAACCTGTGGACCTCAGATTGTCACTATTCTAGGTCTTAAGCAGATTCTCTGCAAGCTATGCCATTCTTTGATCCCGTAATGACTTAAGAGTGATGAAAGCATAGGCAGTGTTTCTGTTTATATTTATTAAGCTATGCTGTCTCAATTTTCTATATAATTTTCATTGAGATGATTTTGTTCCTTACAAGAAGAAATTGGTTTAAAGCTCTTAAAGAAAAAATGTGTTTCAGGTTTAATGGAGAGGAAGACTTCATTTGGCTCCTTGGCTCTGATTAATTTCTCCTTTTTCCCTCTTATTCACAGTATGGGGATATGGATTCCTGTCAGTGACAATCATTAATCTGGCATCTCTCCTCGGATTGGTTTTGACTCCGTTGATAAAGAAATCTTATTTCCCCAAAATTCTGACCTATTTTGTGGGGCTGGCTATTGGGACTCTATTTTCAAATGCAATTTTCCAACTTATTCCAGAGGTAAGGCTGTTAGCTACCTGTTTCTGTGAATAATTGTTTCTTTAAAATGTTTTAGCACTTTGTACATTTTAAACCTCCAAGATTCTCAAAGAATTTTATGGTCTGATTTATGGTGTTTTGAATAAAAGAGCAGAATCATAGCAAATGAAAAAATCTTGTCTCAAGCTTCAGGGAATGTCAGTGGCAGAGGTAAAATTAATATTCCTGGAGAACAGCCACCAGGATGTGCTCAGATAGGCCTTAACATTTTATTCTATCCTGCAGTTGGAAAGTGTAATTTCTCAACATACCTCCATTATTTACTTATTTATTTATTTATTTTCCTAAAGAGCACGCAATGTGAAATTTACTGAAGATATACCACAAAGTTTTCTTATATATTTACTATAGCTACTGAAGACCAGAGGATCAATAAGAGTGTGGTTGACAGACCTTTTAATTTTCTTTTGACTGTGGAAAAAAATCAATTGAGGTCAATGAGTAAGCAGCAGCTTATTTTTCATTTTCATAGATGCATTATTGATCTGACATTGACAGTAGAGCACTATTCAGTTAATCAACACATAACATATATGTTTTATTTTAGATCTATATTATGGCCAGCCAGTATAAGGAAGAAAGAGGAAGGAAATAATTGAGAGGGAAGAGAGGGGCAAGAGAAAGAGACATTAGTAGGAAGAAAGGGAGCTAGGGAAATGTATACACACTAGAGACCTGGTGCACAGATTTGTGCATCAGTGGGGTCCTTCAGCTTGGTCTGTGCCCTCTCACAATCCTGGATCTTTCAGGGGATGCTGGACTGCTGGTTTCAGTCCATGGAGGTCAGGCCAAACCCGGCAGTCTGATATCCCCCAAGGGATGTAGTAGTGTGTAAAGTAGGAGGTGGCCAGGGAGGAGCTGGTTGGGTGCTGGATGCTCCTCCTCAATCCTGCCTTGAGCTCCTGCTGCTCAAGGTAGTGCTGCCACAGAGGCAAGAGAGGCTCATGCCGCTGCAGCTGCACTCGTCAGCTGTGAGACTAGCCCGTCAGTCAGCTGAGTGGCACTCCCACTGTGGGAGCGCACTGACCACTAGGGGGAAGCTCCTGCATTGAGTGTCTTTCCCCTGGTGGTCAATGCGTGTCATAGCAACCAGTCAAATGGTCGACTGGTCGAATGGTAGACTGGTCACTTAGGGTATGTATGTATGTGTGTGTGTATATATATATATATAGATTGTATCTCCTCCACCCTCAGTGCACACACAAAGAACAAAGATGGGTGGGCAAGTCCTGAGCAAAGAGTAATAGTAGTTCAGGGTATTATTCTCATCTCATAATTTTTAGAAAATTATAACGAAAGCTTCAATTAATTTTCACAGCTATATATGAAATTGGGGATTTTCTTAGAGTCATAGACTTATGATTGTTTTTATTATTATCATTATATCTAGAAAGGAACTGGAAAGGTCCTCTCAACTAGAGATACAATCAGGTAGTAACATATAATATAATGTTATATGTGTATATATTAACTTACCTGAAATTTGGATCAAATTAAATTTAAAAACTGATATTGTGTATGGAGTAGGGATTCAATATTTATTATTTTTGAGGTTTTTTATTTTATTGAAAATATAGTAATACATAAGAATTGTCTTAGGAAAATAAGAAACTCCTTCAGCAGCATTTGTTGGATGTCCTTTTGCCTGCAGGTGATAATTAAGTAATTATGGCCGTAAGAAGAAAATTATATAAACATTCGATAATCTGTCTTTGTAATATTACCTCAAATTTCCATAGATAGTTATTACTTTTTTTGACAAAATTCTTTCCCTTTTTATTACTTCATTTGATTTTTATAACCTCTGTGTTACATATGTAGAGTAGGTGTCTTTGTGCCAGTTTTTGCACCGTATAAATAAGCATAGAGAAGTCAATCAAATGAAGATGTGGCTGTGAGCTCTTCCCAGAGGCAGGCTTAGAACAAGAACCAAGGCATTCTCTATTCTGGTTGCTCTTCAAAAAGAAGATTTACAATGTCTGGAGTGATGTAAAGCTTTCTCTTATTTTATTTATTTTAAGCTTGTGCTTCTTGTCTGTTAGAAATATCTTTACTCTTTATAATTTCAAACTCCAATTCTTGTCCTATGTCCTTTAAACAATGAATTCTCATACTCATGTGTGTGTGAGCCCAGGAGTGTGCCTATCTGGAATCTTAAATATTTTCTTCTTTATTCTTGGGCCAGTTCTCAACATTGAATTTCATTAGGTTTATTTATTTATTTAAAAAATATATATATATATATATATTATTGATTTTTAACCGAGAGGAAGGGAGAGAGATAGAGAGCTAGAAACATTGATGAGAGAGAAACATCGACTAGCTGCCTCTTGCACACCCCCTACTGGGGATGTGCCCGCACCCAAGGTACATGCCCTTGACCGGAATCGAACCTGGGACCTTTCAGTCCACAGACCAATGCTCTACCACTGAGCCAAACCGGCTTCGGCATCATTAGGTCTTTTTAGTTTCCTCTAGGTTCAAGAGGATCTCCTGAGGGAAAGCAATAATCTAAGTGGCTTGCCATATTGCTTTAAAAATTTGACTCTGGCCCTAGCTGGTTTGGCTCAGCCTGCAGACTGAAGGGTCCCAGATTCTGGTCAAGAGCACATGCCTGGGTTGCGGGTTTGATCCCCGAGGGGGGAGGGGGTAATGCAGGAGGCAGCCAATCAATGATTTCTCTCATCATTGATGTTTCTACCCCCCGCCCCTCTTCCTCTCTGAAATCAATAAAAAATATTTGACTCTGGTTATGTTAAACAAATATATTTCTTTTAGAGAAAGCAAATAATGTTTCATTTGCTGGTATCTTTATTACCTAGATCTAATGCTATCTTACAGCTGTGGGGTTCAGTGCTATTTCTTTACCACTAAAGTTTCCTCTTTCAAGGCACATATTGCTGCAGATGTTGGAGCTAAGAAACAAGATACCTGGGTTTTATTTACTGGAGCATCCTCTGGTCAGTAGATTTCTAAAACATCTCTTACAGTTTGCTTACTTGAACTTTTGTTTTGTGATTTTGGCAGCTAAGTTCTCAATATTGCCTGTATGTGAAGATGGGCATAGAACTCCAGTGAAAATTGAAAACTGAGAAATGTTGGTATTATTTGCTAGAAATCAAGTAGTGTTACTTGGTTTGACTTGAATTGCCTTTTTTTTTTTTTCCCCCCCTATCCCCAGGCATTTGGATTCAATCCTAAAACTGACAACTATGTTGAGAAGGCTGTTGCTGTATTTGGTGGCTTTTATTTACTTTTCTTTTTTGAAAGAATGCTTAAGATGTTATTAAAGACGTATGGTCAGGTAAATGGACTTTATTTAAAATTTTTGCTATTTTACCTGCCAAAGCTACTTTATAAAGGTGAATAAAGGGAGGAATTTTATTCTTAAAATTTTGTGAACTGTTCATGTATTAGATTTATGAATGTGAGGACAAAGAAAAGAGTCAATATATTGATAAGTATAAGAGACACAGTTGGTTTATATTGTAGAATTTGGAGTTGCTACTAATAATTTAATGTTTGTTTTTAAAAAATATATATTTTATTGATTGCGTACAGAGAGAGATAGTTAGAAACATTGATGAGAGAGAGTCATCGATCAGCTGCCTCTTGCACACCCCGTACTGGGGATATGCCTGCAATCAAGGTATATGCCCTTGACCGGAATCGAACCCGGGACCTTTCAGTCCCCAAGCTGACACTCTATTCATTGAGCCAAACCGGTTTTGGCTAATAACTTAATGTTGAGTAATAGATGTATTCTATTCATAGTCAACAAAATAAGAAGGCATATGTACTCTAACATGAGAAAACAGACACAACAGACTCTGTCTGATAAATGATGACCACTAAAAGGTAGAGAAATCTTAAAAAATCTAAAAAGGTTAGGGTACATGCAGAATAGACATCACAATATCCATCACTTGTGGATAAAAAGCACTGACCTCTATTTTCTTGTTTATATGAGCTATCTTTTTTCTTCTTATAACCCTTTTTTACTTTTTTAACTTTTCCATGTAGAATGATCATGCCCACTTTAGAAATGAAGACTTTGGTCCTTCGCCAGAAAAAAATCATCAACCTAAAACATTGCCTGCCATCAATGGTGTGACATGCTATGCAAACCCAGCTGTCACAGAGCCTAATGGACACATCCATTTTGATAATGTCAGTGTGGTATCTCTACAGGTATGGTAATTCCATTTTCTTTTTACCCACTGACCCTTTACATTATGTGATGATTGTTGTGAATACAGCCATGTCAGTATTTTGTACATTTAAGTGGATCAGACTTATTCCTGTATGTGTGGGGTAAGTAAAAGGTAAGTCTGCATTATTTTACCCTTTCCTTCCCTATGCTTACTCTAAGCAAGTAAGTTCAGCAAGTCATTGTGGGTTACTGTATCTGAGGCTTCTCTATTCTCTAAGATTGTTTAACTATGTAAAAACACTTAGATTTATATAATGATATGTAGCAACATGAATCAAAGCATTTCTCTTATTTTTGCAATTCTTTATGTATCTGAAACCAAATAATCCCTTTGAGAGATTTTGAAACCGTAAGAAGAAAGAAGATGTGTAAACTATTAAAATTATTTTCAGTAATTAAATTGACTTAGAATTTGTATTCTCATCTTCTAAATAATGTCAGTAGGTATCATTGCTTGAACAAATATATGCCAGGTTGCATGCTAGGCACTTAAATATATTTTATCTCATTTATTTTCTATAATACCTGTTCAAAATAGGGTTTGTTTTCTTTATATTAGGAGTATTTCAGTTTCAAGTGATGGGAATCAAATCCAAATTATGGATGCCAAAAAGAGAATTTATTGAGAAGATAGCAAATGTCTAATGGAATAGCCCAACTATAGGAAAAGCAAGAACCTAGCGACCATGAGAACCATTAGAACCCTGTCTCCTCCTCTTTGCATTCTCTTCTTCATCATGTGCCCATTCCTAAAGAAGCGTGAAACACAGACACTAGCAACTCTCGAGATTTATGTCTTATAATTTCAGCTACAAAAGGAAACTGACCTGACTCTTTCGGTCTCAAATACAGAATTCCTGGCAAGGGTCTTCTTGATTCACTTGAATTAGATGTCTACTTCTAGACTAATCCAAGTGCGTAGAGGTTTGGGCCCTTTATATGGTCCCCAGGGAATATGGATGCTGTAGAGGAGTATTAAAAAGGATGCTGGGGTGATAGTGTCATTGGTGTCCACAACAAGTCTCATTTGACAGACTAAGAAGGTGGGAGCTCTAGATGTTAAATAACCTCTCCAGAGTCATTCAGCTCGTAAATGACAGATTCACAAGCTACAAAGTTAAAAGCAGTACAAAAGATCACAATTAAAAAAAGAGAGAGATCAAAAGGAAAGCCAGCCAAGGGAGAAAAAGGTAGAAAAAAAGGTATTTGAAAAGGTCATTATGGAAAATGACCTGAATTTCCTTCTGGAAAGAAAACATGGTCAGTCATACCATGGTCAGTTGGAGAACTGCTTAAGGAAAATCTCAAGTGCATTTGAAGAGGCAGTTTGTGTTTCCACTAAGCTGAGAGAGAAAATAATTTCATGCAATGAAATCAGCCAAGATTTTGCAAAGAATATGGAAATGTTTAAATAGATGATTTGTTACAATAATTACAACTAACATTTATTAAGTGCTCAAGGACCACACCTAAATTTTAGGTGAATGATATCATTTGATCCTCATAATAGCCAAGGAGACGAGTAGTGTTATAATTAGGAGACTATGGCTTAGAGAGATTAAATAACAAATGCAAGGGCACACAGATCCTAAATGGCCACGTTGGGATTAGGAATGAGGTCCTTTGATGTTGAAGGCTGTACTCTTACACACCATGCTGAAAGTATTCCTCATGTCACTGCTCTACTGGAATCAAGATGACATTGACTCTTAACTTAATAAATATTAATTTTTTTCTAGGGTAAAGAACATAATTGGCCCCCAGAGAATTGCTGTCTGAGGCCCAAAAATTGAATTGTTGAAAAATTTGATTTTAATTTTTTTATCTTTTTTAAATCCCCCACCCCCAATTTTATTTTGTATTGGGTTCAGGTCTATCGCTTATGGTTAGACAACCATATACTTTAGTGTTCCCTCGATATTTCCAGTATGATTTCAGTTTTATATTTTAAGGCTGGTTTATAATTCACTATGACCAGAAGACATGTTGGCAGCAAATGTGACAAAGTTGGGGTCCTAGACATGATCCTGTTTTACATATTTTAGGAATGTCAATCAAAAGGCCATTCTTACTCCTGTTTGTAGTGTTAGTTCACAGGCTTTCATTCATTGATTCAATAAACATTTATTGATATCTTTTCACTATTCTAGGCACTGGGGATTTAGAAGTGAAAAAATTCTTGTGGAACTTATAGTTATTCAGCTGAAAAAAAAAAACAGCATAGAAAAGTGCAAAACAAGAATATATCTGTTAGTAATAAATAATTGGATAAAAATAAAACTTGGTGATGTGGAAGCTTGTTTGATTGCCTGATCAAGAAAGGTCTCTTGAGTCCAGCCAGTGTGATTCAGTGCTAGAGCGTTGACCTATGAACCTGGCAATCAGTTCTATTCCAATCAGTGCATGTGCCTGAGTTGAAGGTTTGGTTCCCAGTGTGGGGCATGCAGGAGGCAGCAAATCAATGATTCTCTCTCATTATTGATGTTTCTCCCTCTTCCTTCTTCTCTGAAACCAATAAAAACATATTAAAAAAGAAAGAAAGGTCCCTTAAGAAGTCAGTGGAAAACTGGTTAATGAAAAAGAGCCAGCCATGTAAATATCTAGGAAAAGAATGATCTAAAAGTTTTGAAAATAATCCAACAGGTCACATATGAGGGATCTGGAAGCTAAATTGTACTTCCTGACATTAATGTGAGAGGCAAGTAACACAATTTCTTTACTATTCCAAATAGAAACAACTGAGGAATTGTATACATACCATAGGTAAACTACCAATCTAGTGAGGGTAGAATGAAGCTTGGGTTCTGGAAATATACTTCCAGGAATAAGAAGTCAAACTGAAGGCAGAGAAGGTGGGTACCAGTAAGACAATCATGTACCAGACCCTGAGATGCTCCATATAAACAGTCCTGACAAAATATGCGGATTATTTTGAGGTCATTTTGGTTGAAGATATAGTCTTAAATGAAGAGAGATTTAAACAAATTGAGCAAAATACAATTATTTTCAGTTTTTTCATTATATTGCATTAAAAAATTCAAAGAAATAGAAATTAAGAAATACCACAAGGATCTAGATATAACTTTAAGAAACAGTAGGTATTGAGCTCTAAGTGATTTTAATAAAAAAGTTAAAATACTTTTTAATATTTTAGATTATGTAAATAATTAAACCCAGATGACCCCATTACAATGATCAATCAGCAGCTGTGAAATTTATGGATCATTTCTGAGTCCACGTATTGCCTTAATATTTTCATTGATGATTCCTGTAGCTACTGCTTCCACACAAGGAAGTTTTTTTCCAAATTGCAAAGAGTAAGAACCTATCTAAGAGTGAGTTATGAAAAGTCATTTAATTTGACATTACTATCAATAGAACACACATTTTGTGACTATCTAGATGATTCATGATTTTGCTAGAGTGTAGGAAGAATAATGAATTGTTACAGTATCATTAAAATGCATGACTTAGGGATGTTTCTATTGATATTCCTCCAAACAATTCTGGTCCATCACAGAATGCCCAGATGTGCAATAACATTGACATTTAGATGCTTGTGGAATTTTGTTTATATCTGGTCATATAAAAATTATAGCTTTACACAAAGTTTTAAAAATTGTATTGCCATAGAAGCATATTTATCACACGAGGAGGGTAGAAGATATTTTACTTTACAATTTGTTAGCTTGATTGTAATGTCTAAATATTTATACCAATGATGTGGGACTTCCTTAGTACCTTTGCTCCAGACCCAGTGCACGTGAGACGCTGCAGTCCTTGTGGGATGTGTGCGCACACAGGAACATGTGCATTTTCAGGAAAAGTGGGTGTTACAGGGGGATCACAAGAAGACAGTTATGAGGGAAGAAGGGAGCACAGGATTCCAGTTCTCCAGTTCCTCAGTTATTGCCAGTAGGTAATGTTTCACATCTCACCCTGTGAAACCGCTGCTTTGTTCTTTTCTCTCTAGTTACTGTATAGTCTTGTGGAGAAGTCATTACAACATCTGTGCAGCCAGGTGTGTTTTTCCAGGAATCTACAGCTTTAGAAGGACTGTGTTTACTAATTGTTTAAAAAAAACCCACTTTTTTCAATTGCAGTTAACATTTAATATTATTTTGTATTAGTTTTAGGTGTTCAACATAGTGATTAGACAGTTACATACTTTATAAAGTCCCTTCATATTTCAAGTATCCACCTGGCATCAAACATAGTTATTACAGTATATTTAAAAATATATATTTTATTGATTTTTTTTACAGAGAGAAAGAAAGAGGGATAGAGAGTTAGAAACATCAGTGAGAGAGAAACATCGATCAGCTGCCTACTGCACACCCCCTACTGGGGATGTGCCTGCAACCAAGGTACATGCCCTTGACCAGAATCAAATCTGGGACCCCTCAGTTCATAGGCCGATGCTCTATCCACTGAGTCAAACCATTTAGGGCAGTTATTACAATATTATTAACTATATTTTCTGTGCTGTACTTTACAACCCTGACTATTTTCTAATTACCAATCTGTACTTCTGAATCCCTTCTCCTTTTTCGCCAAGCTCCCCAACTGTATCTATGAGTCTGCTTGTATTTTGTTTGTTCATTAGTTTTGTTCTTTATATTCCACATATAAGTATTTATTAATTGTGAATTCCTTAGGAATGCTAGGGATTTTGGAAAGTGTAAGCTCTTCAAGGCCACTAGAGGGCCCATCTAGCGCACTTCTGGACTGTAATCAGTTTCGTTTTCTAAATGAAAACCTCTTGTGCTTTCATTTAGGAATGGATGCTAATAAATATAAACTGACTTGAACCACCTATTTTCCCTTACAGAAAAACATTAATATTATCCATTTTTAGAAATTGACTATTGTAAATTTTATGTTTAAAATGGAGGTGCAGTTGCCGGGACCGGCTTGGCTCAGTGGATAGAGTGTCGGCCTGCGGACTGAAAGGTCCCGGGTTCGATTCTGGGCAAGG